GTTAAACATATCTAATCAATAATACCTGTCAATAGGTAGGTACATATAAAATTGTTTTTATTGGATATATCCACTTGTTCCCACACCTTAAATTTCACACTTCTGAAGATGTGATCCTGAAAATACTCAGAAGAATAATTTAATGTGACCAACCATGACAGCATCCATGGGACTACTCAGATGGGTCTCTGCAAGGGATTATGGCTGGGCTGCACATGGCTGAACTGTGTGTAGGCAACACAAAGAAAGATATGTATTTCATATAGTTACCTACTGATACAGCTTTTATTGTGCCCTAGCAACTAAAGAGGGAAGCTTACAGAGACTTATTCATTCTATCAGGAGACTGAGATTTCTGAGATGATCCACAAAGCACAAAAAATGAACATCTGAATTATCCAGCAGTTCAGAAATATTGATTTTAAATTGGCTTAGATAGGCTTCAATCTGAAATATATTAACTGTAATCTGCCTACAACAGGCTAATAATAGCCTGAAATCTCTAAACTCTTTTTTTGTGTTTGTGTGCATGCCAAAGAATATACTAAATGTCCTCATCATTTTCTCCCCCTCCTTTCCTAACCTGTAGCCAAAATCACAAACCATTCAATGAACTGCAACAGAGAAGACAGTTGGTATTTCACTGTTAAGGAGTTAGACTGTGCATGTTTGGTATCTGTAGGTATTCTGTTGTCACTGAAGATGTTGTGATTCTGGTGTTAACTTTCTTGATTTTATGATCATGAAATACTGTAAGCAATGTATAAGTAAAAACATTAACTACAAGGTGCTGAGCAACATTTCTAGCACACAGAGAAAATGACTGACTTCAAGTCAGAAAAAACCTGTTTGGCGTGAAACAGTGACAACTGCTCATGGAATTTTATGAAGTGTTTTACTATCTGTCCTTTTTGCAACCACAGGAAGAGAGCAGATTTTCTAATGCGTCCTAACAGCAATATCATTTTAATGAATGTATTAATTACACTAGTGTACATGCTGTAATTTGCTAAGTGCTTTTCAACTGTACATAGTTCTTTTCAAAAACAAAACTAAAAAATTGGCTCCCAATTGCTAATTAGCAGACTGGAAGACATAGTCTTCTGACCTTCTGTCAGATTAAGTTTTCTAAACTGCTTGTACTGCATCAATCTTTCTGTGGCTCATAATTCAGCTGTTTAGCTTACTGGGTTTTTTTACAGAAAATGAATGTTTTCTGTGTCATAGCCTTTTTCTCTTTTTCTCACTAGCACATTACACGCTAAAAAACAAAGTTTATGTAATAGTCTATTTGCATCTTTAATATGTTTTGTTTATTTTAAAAAACAAAAGCTGAGCATGCATATTACCGATGCAGAAAGCATAGTCATGGAACAACAGACCTTTATTTGTCAGCTGAAATAATGTGTGCATTCAACCAAATTTTTCCTTTTAAATTAGAAATTAGAAAGTTAAATGTATATGCTAAAATCAGCTATACCAAACAGAGAGGAAGTGACTCTAGTGCACTAATCTCCATTTTGAATGCCTTAAATGTTCACATAAGACTTCATAAAGTGCCTGAATTAATTGGATACCTAAACCTTACTGCAATTTTTGTGGGACCTGGGTGACTAGCTCTAGAAGAATACTTTAAACCCCGTAATTTTAGTATTAATTTGATTTCCAGCTAGACCCTTGAGCTAGGCAAGTGATGGAAAGCAAGTGATGGAGATACTTTTTTTTTTTAAATCACAATGACCTGGAAAATTGCTGAATTTCATAACATCTGAGGTCAGACATGTAGTTTTCATTATTTACCTAGCACAGTACTTCGTGCTGAATCACCTGTTTCTAATAATATTTAAATGTTAATTTCATAGTTTGCATTATTGTATAATGTTAGAACTTTTCTCAATCCAACTTGAAATGAACCTTTTTGATAGGTTCACACAAGCCCACAACATATACAATACACCTTCACATACATACAAGACACATATTCATGGAGATAAGATGTCGAAAGATCACTCATGTATAGACATGATTACATCAACCAATTTTAAAGATTTTGATTTAAAGCAATTAAATATTGCTAATACAGCATGAAAAAAATGCACTGTAACAGTTCTTGGCATCTTTACATTAAATGTAATAAAAGGGTACAATCCTTGATACTAAAACACTTGGTCCTATGAAGACAGAGAGGAAAATTCTTATTAGGTTGCTGATGGTCTGATTCAGAAGTCATGGGACCCACACAAAGTCTGACTTTCAAAACCTAATGGAGAATTTCCATTAGCCCCAAGAGACTTTGTGTCAGACTCTTAGAAGTGTATAACTGCCTACAAATGCATTGTGCAGATGCCTGGCACACAGGCTCTTCCCCATATGTTAAAAAATAAAAATACCTCTTCATATCGAGAGTGCTAGATCTTCAAGATCTGTAAGAAATAAGGAAGCACTAAGTGATACTAAGAAACCTACTATTCCCAATGCATACACTGAGTCATAAGAAAATCAACCATGTCATTATGAGATGTCCTGCAACATATCTAACGGTCATGCAAAATGCCTTCCTATTGACAACAGTTTTCTGAAAGAAAGTGTACACACTCACTGCCAACATGCCCAACAACTTGTTCCCATCAGACATTTAAACATTGCAAGCATTGTCCTCTTCCAGGCACACAAGCTTGTGTCCAGGGGATCATGTGGTAAAGGCGGCAGAGCTGGGAACTGTGATCAGGCTTTTGAGTGAATAGTGCCTCCAGCTCTGCAGTCTGTGATGGGCTGAATCCTCCTCCTTAGCGCATTGCATTACAGTGAAAAAAATGACAAAAAAAAGAAAGAAGAGGGAAAGGGAAAAGGAAAAGCCTACCAGTTAGCCCAAAAGCCAGTATTTGTCTTGGATGTGCTCAACACTGATGGAATGCCAAGAGAAGCTGTTCAAAGGTTTTTGCATCAGGCCATTTCTCCTCCATTGGGTATGTTCATTTTCCTCTTGTGTACCAAGAAATCACTTGGGCTTTCTCTACGAAACTAGTAACAAAACTAAATGCTACAGATTATTTACAAGAGCAAACAAAAAGGAGCGATTAAAAAAAAAAGCGGGGAAAAAGCTTTCAGAAGTGGAGGCTGGTGACTTGCCAGGTAATGGTCAGAAACTAACCTAATTATATGGGACTCTTTAGAGCAGCTTTGAACTTGATCACTTCTGTGATTCCATTAAAGATTCAGCAGAAAGCAAAGTTGGACCAGTCATTTCATTGTGGTTTCTAACACTATTTTCCCAAACACCAGATTTCTCTTGCCATCTGTATGTGTTAACCAAGCGTAAGTGAAATCAAATGCCCTTCTTGAAGGTCATGAAAATATAGACTGACTCAGGAAAATATTAGTCTCCAGGTTCTTTCTTCAAAGAAGCTTTGGGCCTACACTGTTAGGTCTTGTATCATATTAGGCATATTAAAAGATCTATTTTCATATAACTTTGTTTCTTGATTAAGAAGACCTATTTAACTGCAGTTTTCATCCATCCTGCTTCAGCAGCAGCTAGGGCAGAACAACACCCTTTATTTAAGAGGGCTTTCCAGCTGTGCTGTTGCTTCAGCTCAATCATTTCTCCCCCAGGCTGCCCTCAAGCACCTGCTGCACAGTCCTAGCTTTGCTCATGCAGACAAAGGGTGGAGGGCAGGGGATGACTGAAAGGTGCATGGATCTCAAAACCCTTTCTTTCCACAAGATGCTGTTTTTTTCAAATAGTGTTGTTCCCATCTGTGTAACAGTGTGTACTCTGCATCTTTAAAAGTAGGCATGTAAACGTGGAAAGATTTTATAGCCAGGATTAGATATCCACTACCTTTTATTATTGCACAATTAAAATAGTACTGGTTGGCTTTTTTGTCTAATCAAATAAAAATGAAAATTTAATTGAACATTTCATGAATGTTTCATATCAATCAGGAAATAAAATACTCTTGAATTTTGATTGTGATACTTGCTTGTGTTACTGAGAGCTCTTTAAGGCATCAACGGATGTAACAAACCTACTTATTTACAGCACAGTTGCCCTCACTAGGACTGAAGGGTGCACAGGAAAACAGAAAATGTTCTTTGGGATGTCACAATAAAAAACCATGCAAATAATTGGGAAAACAAGAACAGTAGCATATAACAGCAGAAAACTTCTAAAAGAAGCTTAAATTGTTGCTTGCGGGTTTTTCCCCTCGTTAAAAAGACAGGTGAAAATTCCCCTTTAGGAAAGTGCATGCAGAGCATGCAGGGGTTTTGGAGGAAAATTATTGTACGGGCTGGTTTCCAAAAATACTGTGGCTATAAAACATAATTAGATGGCAAGTATGTGAATAACAAAAGTTAAAATCCCTAAGAGTAATGAGATTCATTTGATAATTGTACGAATGCAAGATAAATGTTGTCCTTTTCATTTGTTCTCTGACCACTGAGGACGCGGCTTTATGGACAACTTTCCAGCACCACCTTGATCTAAGCAACACCTTCTCTAAGGTCTCTGGATAATTTGCTAGATTATATTTCAGATGGATTAACCCCCCAACCCAGCTCACCAGGTAGCCACAGTAACTGCATGTGTTCATACAGGGAAAATATAAGAGGAGAGAAAGTAAATAAAGGTGAAAGGACAGGTTTTCTACAGGCAAAAAGTACACATTTACTTTCCTTTCCTTTTTTTTTCATTAGGGATGCTCAGATTCTGGCGCAGTTACATGATTTTTAGTGCTGGAGAGCTAAAAAAACACAGCAAAGGAACATGACTTGCAATAACATCACGAGCAGGGGTGGCACTGAATTGTTCAGTCTGCTCAGTTGACAGTCTCTCCAAAAAATGCAATTTATCTCCTAGAAAGACATCCCTCTTAATGCAGCTGTATTGCAACATGCCTTATGGTTCAGATAATTGATTTGAAATGTGAAGTGATAAACGAGAGCCCCATTTGTCACATCTTCCCCTGCAGACATGTGAAGAAAAAAACAGAACTCACCATTATTCACCAGTACATGGAGTGGACAATTCTTTGCTCTAAACTGCTGCACAAATTGCCGTATAGACTTCATGGAAGCCAAATCACAGTAGAAAAACTCCACTGGGAGAGAAGAAAGATGAACAAAAACAGAGTTAAGTCAGTTACAGTGATATATAAATATACTTACAGACATTAACAAGGACTTCTGTGATAATGTCACTGGGAAAGTAAAGATTTTAAAAATAAACCAGGCTGTTGAAAATTAAGGGTGAAGCTGGTCTCAGAAGGATCCTTCCTTCTCCTTCCTTCCTTCATTTCTATATTTAAACTATTGACTCTTCAGAGAACAAATATGAGGAATGCTGCTGTCAGGAGGTGAAGAAGGGTATCAAACGGAGCAAATGTATCCTAGTCCTATTCTTTTTTCTACTGCTACCATTTAGGAAGAGGGGTTACAGTTCTCCAGCACTGAGATGACCAAGACATGGCAGCTGGAAATCAAATGGGGAGAGGAGAAGCCACATCAGGCACCACAGCATTTCCCTGTGTTTCTGATGCCAAATATGCCGCCCTCTGCTTTTTTCCAGATTATCTGCCAAGTGTCTGCGGTCCGAACAGTGATGGAGTCTGACAACACATTATAAAACAAAGCTGTACTGAGGCAGTTGGGAAGGTGAGCAACAGCCTGCCCATACGGCCACTCATCCGACCACCGAGAGCAAACGTGGCATCACGAGTAATGCCGTGGCTCTGGTGGGTACCTAGGGACCCTTGGTGTCTGGGTCACCTGGCAGCACCAACCAGGCACGTAAATGCCTTTCAAATGCAGGTAAGAGTTGCGCCGCCCCTTGGCCCCAGCAACGGCCGGGTGATTTGAGAGGACCATAGCGCACACGGAGACTGTGGGCAGCATTCTGCCTACGCTGACAATGCCGGCTGAGGGGCAGGGCAGCAGGGGCAGGGGGTTGGCAGTCTGCCTACACCAGCCCTGTTGGTCAAAGGGCAGGGTGTCAGTGTCTCAAAATATATTTAACACTGGTACGTTTTTATTTCCAAGAAAACATGTCTCTAACAAAAGCGTCCTTTGTCCAATGCATTAGTCAGCCATTGACCTTCACCAGAACTCTACAAAATTAATTAATTAAAGCAAAAAAGATTATTTAAATCCCTGAATAATTTTAAGCTCATGGGGTCTGAAAATTCTCCTCCTGCTTTCATCCCCTGAGTCTCACGGCACTGCTTCCTCGCTTGCCTTGCCTTGCAGGACAGCCACAACAAGGGTTATGAAGTGAAAGCAAGCGCTTTTCCCCCCAACAGCAGTAGCTATCCCCACACAAACAATCCAAATTCTTTAGAAACTCTGCAAAGGGGGAAAAAAAAAAAAGTGAATTCATCCACCTGTTTTAGCCTTTTAGAAGGCATACACATTGCATGACAGGCTTTTGGTTTGTTTCAGCATTATCTAAGCTTTAAGCAACAAAACCTGAGTCTCTAGCGCTGATGTTATTCTCTCTTCTGGTTTGCTACACGTCGTGGTGGGACTCCAAGTCAGCTAGATGTTGTCAACTCCACCCCAGCCAGACCCAGTACACTAGGGTTCTGAGGTGGATTTGCCTGAACCTCTTCCATAAGGTGAATTTTCTGAGAAAGACCAAATGGCGTTTCAAGTTCAGAAAGTCAGACAGGACTGAGCAACCTCCAGTAACTAAGTCCAGCAGAAAGAGAGGTGAAGGCTGTACAAAGCCTGCTCCCCTTGCTCACTGTGCCCTTCCAGGCTGAGCCTGTACTGTCCGGTTTGACTTCAACCACCTCCCAGATTTCCTGAGCTGTGGCAACCACCACTCAGATGCCCAGTCCCCAGGAGGGTTTTGGCCACCACAGCTGTGGGCTGGGGCTCCAGGTCCTCGCTGCGCTCTCCCCGCTCCCCTTCGCCCTCCCACCTCTCAGCCCGAGGGCGGCTCCCTTGCACTCCATGGGAAGGAATAGCCACCCCCTTCCTTGCACGAGGCTTCCCTCACCTCTTCCTCTGAAAGAAACAGCTTTTAAAAGAAAGGAAAATTAAAGATATAAAGTTCTTCACACATGCTAAACAAAGCCTTTCTGACAAGAACATTAAACTATTGGGTAAACAGGCTCCAGCACAGGCTGCAGTAAGAGACCTTTCCTGTTACTCTTCTCCCTGGTACATCAGTGATGTTCACCAAATGGTTTCATCCTGTCACAATCCAGGCTGTGAGTTATAATGTCTTTTTCTAGTGTGTCTGTACAATAAGAGTTTAGGAAGGCCTGCAGGCAGAGCAGCAAGCTAAATAACAAAAGGCAATCACGGCTCTTATTAAAATCCTTTACAGGAGAAGAGTTCCTTCAGTTCCCTTCAGCTTTACACAATACAGGGCTTTAATAATCCTTCTATATTTTGAACCTAGACAGTATCAGTCCTCTGAAATTGCCTTAGTGAATTTATATAAATTACTCAGTGGCCTTTTCCATTAAAAAAAAAAAGAGAGAGCTTAAATTCCAGTTTTAAGATAGCGTAAATACATTTGTTTGAAAAGGCTGTAAAGTCACACCGTTTCAATGATGCTGACTCATGAATAACACTGGAAAATTTCTTGAGCTCCCTACAGACCTTTAGGAGGTCTGCAATTCAGTTTAATTTCACTGATGTCCTGCATCTGGTGGTGGTAAGGAAATGCAAAAGTTATTAACTCCTGTAAAAGAAGAGAGTTGTTCAGGTCATTCCTCTTGTGGCCTAGTAGCTATATAAAACCACATGAACGGCACTGTAGTTGCTCAGATGCCCAAAATGTGGCTGTACTAACTTATTAGTAAGTAGTGCAATAACGAGTGGAATAAAGACCTAGGCGAAGCTTTGTGCTGACTCTACTCTTGTTCTGCTTCTCCAGGCAGCTTCTCAGAGAAAGAGATTAGGGAAAGCATGATCATCTTCTTCGGAGGCATCCACTCACACTGCCAATGGAGGAGTGCCTTTTAATACAAAATATTCACCTTGGTACAGAAGGCATTGGACTTTCATAAGCTGCACTGTTTTGTGGCACGGTGCAAGGTCCAATCACTTCTTCACAACCCGTATGGACTTTAGCAACATTACTGACTCTCCTGGGTTTTGCCAATGACACTGTATGTGCAAGGAAAGCAGACCCCTGAGAACATTGACCAAGCTAAATTTTAATCTCTCCCTTCATCTGACCTCGAAATCATCATTTTCTGCATTGCCAACTACAATGGTAGTTAGATAACCAGGGTGCCAAGGTGAGTGCTCTTCAGGCTGACCGATACCATCCCACGCTTCCTGGGAATTAACTGTTTGCTACACCTGTCTGAACTCCCCTCCCTTCATTTTGTAGTTTTGCAGAGCAAGTTCTGTCCTTCGTTATGACTGTACCATGCCCAGAGTAATGGCATACTAGGCCAAGGCTATCATTACTAAGCTTATTTACTTGCTTGCTTGGGAAGTGTGTCATCATGTTCAGTATTTGTAAAGCACTTGCCATAAAAGATCAGAACACGCTTTGGAAAGGAAAACAAACAAATAAATCAACCCCCAAACTTTTCCTTTTGCTCATGGGGCAGAAACATAAATGGCCAAAGTCCTTGTTCGTGCTTATTCATGCACGGCGGCTTTTCGCCGGGGAGGCATTCTCACTGGCATGAGCACCGCACCGACTGCGGTGCCGTTCCACTCGAGAAAGAGTGCCAAAACACGGCTCCAAGTCATGTGCTGACTCAGCAGCAGGGCTGAGAACCCAGTTTCTTCACTGTCCCATGGTCCAAGTATTTATTTTTTTTTAGCAGCATGTGAAGAATTGCATGTTTAGATGTTACAGACAATGGCTAGTTTTCAGAACATTTCAAAGTATGCACAAATGCGCTAAGTAAGTAATTTTTAAAAACGGCTTAATTAATAAAGACCAGCATTAGCAATGTGAGCAAATGACCAAACCTGAACTAGAAATGTGACTTGAACAACTTTTCAGAGACAACGATGGCAAAAGGTGTTCTGCATTGGATAGGTATAGGCAAAAAGAACAGAGATGTGCAATAACAACAAGCAAGCTGAAACATATGCCAAAACTAATATTTAGATATGTTACTTCTTATCTTTTAGGTTTGCCTGGCACTGGACTTTAGATTATTTAAGTACCTATTAATTGACAACAGTGGCATTCTGCTTTTGAGTTTAATAACATCATAGGTTTTCAAAACTAACTGGTTCCTTTGATTCGCTCTGTGCTATTGAGAACAAATCTGGGGAATAGAACCTACATACTGAACATCTGCAGCTAATGCTATTGAAATACTCTAATTTCTAACTGTCCCATTTTATCTCTCCTTCTACTATTCTTTCCCTTGCTTTCAGGTACTTCTAGAATGACAAAGATGCCCGTATTTCTTTCTTTTAGTGGATATGTCTCTTGCTCTTACCTAAATAATCTTTCCAATGAAAGCAAGCGGGTAGATAATTGTCAGACACTGGCTAAAATATTCACTGTTAAAAATATTTTACTACTCTTTTATTGTAATTTGATGACTCAGTTGTCAGAAAGTTATTAGCTAACAAAATATAAAAGGAGTATAATTTCCCAAAAGACAGCTAGAGTTACTTATGCTATTATTCACATATGAATAGATATGTATATGCTGGTGCTACAATTGCTGTTTTGCCTAATTGCTTTCTTTCAAACATGCATCTGCCTGGTGCAGCATCTTTTCAGTAGCAAAGAGGTTGGAATGATGGTTTTTGGGCTGCTCCTCCACAAGGTCATATGAACCCCACAAAGCTATGCTGGCTTACCACACACGACACCGCTGAACACCTGCACAGCTCAGTGCCAGGTCCTGAAGGACAGGCACCCAGTGGCTCCTGGAGAGCTTTCTGACACTATGAGGCCCACGGGAGCCCAGAGGAGCCCCAGTCTGACACAGACCCTGAGTGATCACACTCCCCTGAGTTTCCATTTCAGGTCAACTTCCCCATTTCTGTCCATTTGCTTCTTCACACTATTAGCACATCTTTCTTTTTAACATCTAGAGTTCCCCTCCTTTGCTTTTCGTGCCAGCCCAGTTGACTCTGGTTGCACATTTCTTCTGTGTCTGTA